GAGGAAATGGCAAGGGGGAGTGGCCCCTGTCTGCGCTTCCTTCTCCCAGTTGCATGAGGCCTTATCTGCAGTCTGCTCTGCAGCTGCGCTTGCTGCTGGCTTGCTCACACTGTGTCAGCGTGTTCACACACACATGCTCACAGGCTGCTCAAGAAAGTTCACTCCTGTTCTCCAAGCTCTTCAGAGGGATGTCAAAAAAATAACGTGTCACCAGCAGCAACCCCTTTAGGTGTGTGAGAAGAGATGCAGTCATGTCACGGAGCTGCATTGGGGAACGGGGACAAGATGCAGGTAACATTATTCCCTATCCAAAATTCAGCACTGCTGCAACTCCAGCTACACTGAATGTCCCATATGAACCAGGGTCACTCTGAATCCACTTCCAAGTCAGCAGGTATAAGGGAAGCCCAGAGCAGGGCTGTGGTGCTGGGAAATGGAGCTGCACACAAAACATGAAAGGATGCCTGCAAGGAATGTGGGGCAGGGGAAAGTAGGGGAAACCAATCTGCAAACCCAGGACTGAAGCAGACCACGGTCCCTCTAGCTCAGGACTTCTGACCACCTGGATGTCAATCGCTAGGCCGGTATTAATACAAAACCGGACACCTTTATGTCTGAAAAACAGAGGACATAAAGGCGTCGGGTTTTGTATCGATAGAGGACAGAGTAGCAGAAAACCACACATCCTCTGTGATGGCCACCCTATCAATCACACAGAATTTCATCCAGTTATGCTGCTGTGGAGCCGGCTAACTTGTGTTTGCCTCAATAAGCTGTCTTTAACCTTTGCTGGCCTGGAAGCAACAAGAATGAGCAAGCAACACAGCAGCGTGGCCCACCGCTTTCCCTGCTGACCTCAGTTTTAACTTTCTAATTTCCTGTCACTGTGCACTCAGATAAAAGGGAAAAGCATAAATTCTGGCAACCATCCCTTGTCAGAGGGAAAAATAGCAAGCCTCTCCAATTTGTGTCACCAGCTCCCAGCAAAACCCCAACTCCCTGGTGGTCTGTCAGTGAGACCCTAATGCCCTACTGCTCTCCCTCCCGTCACACTGCCCAGCCGCTCTCTCTCAGTGAGTTCAGCTCCGCATAGTGCTCCAGCCAGAATCAGCAGGTGCTAGAGAAACTGGACAGCACTGTAACCAGCTGAGGTCAGCAAACTCATTCCCATAACTCAGGCAGATGTGAAACAAATTGGGGCTGACGAGAATGAGTGGAATGCATGCGCCGGTCTGCTGAGCTCAGGGTCAGTGGGAGAAACCTGAACCTGCTACGTGGCCTGTGTTCATTTGCCTTTCCGTTCGTAGGCCCCTGTACATCAGATCTCGGGGCCTCACAGCCATGAAAAAACCTCCTCAGCATCAGCCCACCCCCTCTCCTGTAACTCAGTCCTGCCTCCCACCTGGCTGAGGCCCCGTGCAAGGGGAAGTTGACCAGCACGGAAAAGAGAGCTTCCACAGGGGCACATAAGGCAGAGAGCAAGAGCAGATCAGCAGGGAGCAGAAAGCAGAGCAGCAGCTTGGGCAGGAGAAGGGGACTGAAGTAGCACTTAAGGTGGATGCGGGGCTGATTTGTGGCACACATGCTGAAAAGGTTGGTCCCTCCAATCTAAACAATAGGTCCCAGAAGACAGACTAGACCCTAAGACTAGACCCAGCTCTATAGCTTCTTTGCTTTGGGCTCTATACAGATGTTGCATCCATCCCCAGATAAACCATTTTATTTTGGGACAAAGTGCAGTCATGATGTTCATGTCCATTGTCCTGGGACAGACCCTAGAAAGGTTCACAGGATAAGAAGCGTGAACGATTTGTCCTGGGACATCTCAAAGCACATCTGAATGGTTTCCTTCAGGTTACATCACTGAATCAATGGCAGAAAAGTGGCACTGCATTCAGCTGCTCACTAAACCCTGACTGGAAGAGCGATGTGTGTACTCACCAATCCCAGGACATTTCTGTTCTGGGACAAACACAGGCAAAAAACTTTTCAGGGACAAATGCAATATCTGTTCCTTGCCTTGGTGAGGTATTCACAGGCTGACTCAGACACTTCTAGGCCTCACAGGCAAAAGCATGCATACACATACACAGAGGCCCAGCCAACAATACACCCACTCACACGCACAGGCTCCAAACACCTGCAGCATTACACCCACCAGCAAGAAAAGCAAACATACCCACAGGTCCCCTTGCACGCACACACGGGCATACAGGTCCACCACACTCCCTTTCAGTTGCACACAAAAAGCAGTAACACTTGAATACACAAACAGAAACACAAAAGACCTTTATAACCTCAACAAGTTGTTTCTCCTACAGGCTATGTCAAAAGAGGCAATGGAAAATAGTGAAACTTTTTAATAATTATTTCTATTTTTAAATATATGGGCAACACTATGATAGAAAACAAGGAACGCAGTGCATCCTCCGAAGTATGCTATCGCCACAGTCATGGTTCCAGATGAGCTTTTGTATACAGTTAAATTTTGCATCTTCTCTGAAATCCACATACATATTTAAGTTGGTCCAAACTTTGGTGGACAGATCATACCCCAGGGGAAATTTGAGGCCATATGTCAAAGAGGTCATGTAAAGAAAGTTTGTATTACTGGAACTTCTCCGTAATATCTAAGATCTGCAATGAAAAGTCTAGTCTAACCTTTGAAATGTAAAATGTAGCAAAAATTTTTGTCATTATGAAGTGGCATGGCTCTGTGTTTGTGCACTATTACTAAGTCACATGCGCTGTGGGCAGATATCAGAAAGCTCCAGGGGCAGATCTAGGATTTTGAAAAAAGGAGTGCAGATGGTGTGGTGCATCTTCACATATAACACAACACAATTTTTATTTTAGGTCAGAAGAAACTAGAAGCTTTAATGATAGGCTTAGGGGTCTAAGGCTATATTATTCAGTTCAAGATCCAAGCAAAAATAAATATAATATTATGGAACTGCAAATGAATTTACTATACCATATATGGTATTATATATACAAACACAGACTAGGCAAAAATAATCAAGAGATTTCTTTATTCCTGTTGTCATTAGAATTAAATGTACATCTCTTTCCCATTCATAAAAACAAAATCTAGCCTTCTTGAACATCTGGAAAGTGCATCTAATGCAAGGGTAGGCAACCTCCAGCACACATGCCAGAGCATGACAGGCAAAGGCATTATGCTTGGCAGTTGCACCTTGGAGAAGGGGCCCAGGCTGCACTGCCAGAACAAGGACTGGGCTCCTTGCAGCTCCCCCTCTGTTCACCCCAGCACAGCAACATCTTACAAACCGAGGTTGCGGGTGTTTTTGGCACTCTGCCCAGAAACACTGCTGACCCCTGATCTAATGCTTCACGATAAGTTCTTTTCACACTTGAGCTGATATTTATTCACCCAAGTTAATGTTTTTAGCTAGAGTTAAAAACAGTCTGCAGGGCTGTGAAATAGGAGCTACATTACCAGGAGCAGCTAATAGACAGCAGAATTACAGAAAGAGTGCTCAATTAGCGAGACATCAAGACCATTAAAAAGGAGAGAGGGTTGTTAACAACTATGGAATAAAATGTTTAAAAGTAATCAGGTAATGAGCCCTGAAGTCGAGACTCCCTCACTGCTGCCTGAATAGAAATGCTACTGCCTCTTCCAGATAATTGGTTTTCAACTTTGGGTGGACCAAGAATCAGAAGGAGGTGTAACTGCACCATTGTACCCCCTCTGGATCCACCCCTGGAGAGAGCTTCCCAACAAGATACCCTTTAGACCCCGTGAGGGGTCTCTAGTTCTGAACTAAGAGTGCTAACCTTTTCACTCTTGTTAATGTTCCTCTGGATTTTACAACCCTTACCGTGCACCAAGGCCCCATACCAATATCTTGAGGTAGACAGCTGTCCCTATACCTAACAGCTAGACTAACAGAGAAATTTGCACAGCTGCTTTTCTGGGACAGCTGGACATAGAGTATATTAGGGAAAGTCTTACTTCCACACTGCTTTTTGGAACAAATGGGACCAATTTGTGTACTTGCCTAGATTGTCTGTGTTCACTGATTTATTCTTTAGACAATACTTCCTGTCCAAAACCAGGAATGGCATACAGGAATCCCAGTTCCCAAAACTGTATAGCTGTCTAGCAAAACCATCTCCCACTGGCAAAATGTCCAGGAAATAAAGGTCTATGAGAACATCTGAATACCCCCTGTTTAAACCTTTCAGCTGATCGATGTGCAGATCAATACAGTTCCAGATGATGAAGGCTTTATTCATAGATTCATAGATGTTAGGGTCGGAAGGGACCTCAATAGATCATCAAGTCCAACCCCCTGCATAGGCAGGAA